GTATCAACCAGGAAACCAAATAAATGAAGAGACATATCATCTTCATGAATTTCAAGACTCAGTATTTTTAACATGCCTGTTCTCCCCACAGTGATCTACAAGTTCAATACAATGTCAAAAAATTTCATCTGATTCTAAAATTGAGTTGAAAAGCAAGGATATGTGCTGAGAGCCACAGCCGAGTCGGAATGGCCCCTGGCATTTTGCCAATAGTATTGGTTGAGAGGCGAGCCATTAAGATGATGCTGGATTGATTCAATTGTATATTAGACCTTTACTGTCCGCCTCCCCCCATCCGCTACTTTGGAGTTCTCGCGGAGATTCCTGGAGAGTTCGCATTGGTTGGGGAAGGTCCGGAGGAGGGATTTCCGGTTGGTGCCGGGTGCTTGGCGATCACGGGAGTGCGGAGAATAAAGGAGTTCCTGTTTTGAACCTACAAGGCTGTGTGGCGGCTCGGTTATTGTGTGCCCAGCCAGACTGCGGCAGATATGGAATAGCCAAGAGCTAAAATTGTTTTTTGTTTGTTTGTTTGTTTGTTTAAAAAGGACAAAGTCAGGACTCATACTACCTGATTCTAAAAACTTAATATAAAGCAACAAAGATTTAAAAATAAGAGCATAGAGCTGGGCACGGTGGCACATGCCTGTAATCCCAGCAGCTCAGGAAGCTGAAGCAGAAGGATCACAGGTTGGAAGCCAGCCTCAGCAACTCAGCAAGGCCCTAAGCAACTCAGTGAGACCCTGTCTCTAAATAAAATATCAAAAGGGCTGGGGATGTGGCTCTGTGGTTAAGTGCCCCTGAGTTCAATCCTCAGTACAAAAAAAAAAAAAGAAGAAGAGTATAAATGATAACTAAGTAGTTACATGGAACGGAAGTGAGAGGTCAAAACAGGCTCACCTATTAAATTATTTTTAATAAAGGTGCCAAAACAATTCAATGGAAAAGAAAATTCTTTCCAACAAATAGTGCAGAAACAACTGGATAACCATATGAAAAGAAACAAAACTCAACCCACAAAATTTAGACATTCCTTATAGGTCTTAAAATGAAGCTAAAGCTATAAAGTTTTTAGAAAGAAGACTTAAAATTAGTTTTGTGTCTTCAGGAGTAGACAGAGATCCTCAGGCCAGGCAGGTGGTTGATGCACACCTGTAATCCTAGCTACTCAAGAGGCTGAGGCAGAAGGAGGCAAGTTCAAGGCCAGCCTGGGAACTCAGTGAGACCCTGTCTCAAAATCAAATATAAAGGGCTGGGGGGGTGCGGGTAGACCACGTGCCAAACGTTTGCAAGGACGTCAAGGAACAAGAACTCTCGGGCATCGCTGGGGTTGGGGTATAAAATGATATACCACTTTGGAAATCTATCTGGTGGCTTCTTATAAAGTGCAACATACTTTTACCCCATGGCCCAGAAATTCCATTTCTAAGTAATCACCAAGAAAAAGGAAAAGGCATAAAAATGGGCTGATTTTATTTCCCGCCTCCCAAATTAATGTCTAAAATCTAACCTTGGTACCTGAAAATAGGACTGTTTTTAATTAAGTTCTTTAATTTTTTTATTTTTATTTTATTTGTTCTTTTTAGATCTATACGACAGTAGAATGTATTTTCACATATTATGCACACATGGAGTACAACCACTCATTCTTGTGGTTGCACATGGCATGGAGTTTTTGTGCATTCATATATGGACATAGGAAAGTTATGTCTGATTCATTTTAATGTCTTTGAGATATCTTCTTTAAAGAGGCAACTAAAATAAGACATCTAGGGTGGGCCCTAATCCAATATGACTAGTGTCCTTATATGAAGAGGAGAGGAACACAGAAAAGACCTTACACACTATATGATGTATGCCCATCAGACATTTGTTCAAGAATGATCATAGAACCTTTACCATAATAGCCAAAACTGAAAGCAAGCCAAATGCCAACAGGTGCCACCAAACAATGGAGTACTACTTAACAACAGAAAGGAGATAAAGAATATATGCCTCAGGGGTTGGAGTTGTGGCTCAGTGGCAGAGCGCTTGCCTGGCATGTGTGGGGCACTGGGTTCGATCCTCAGCACCGCATAAATAAATAAAATAAAGGTATGCTGTCCATCTACAAGTGTACAAAATAAATTTTTTAAAAAAAGAATATATGCGTCAGAGCTGGGCATGATGGTGCACACCTATAATCCCAGCAGCTCCAAAGGCTGAGGCAGGAGGCTTTGAGTTCAAAGCCAGCCTCAGTAATGGCGAGGCCCTAAGCAACTCCGTGAGACCCTGTCTCTAAATAAAATACAAAATAGGGCTGGAAATGTGGCTCAGTGGTCGAGTGCCCAAGTTCAACCCCTGGTACCAAAAATAAAAAGATTTGAAGTGAATTCCTTGGGGGAGGGGGAATGGGGACTAAGGCAGAGGGTGGTGGAGGAGGGCTGCTTTGGTTTTCCCTCGGATTATGTAACTTTTAAAGCAACAGCAGTCCTCACACACACTCAAATTACTTGCTCAGAAAAACACTTTAGAACTGCTGGCTCAAGAGCGAGGAGCTTCTTTTGTTTGTTTTCTTTGCTCTGCTCCTAATTCATCACCGCCTTGACCCCAGGAACAGGGTATCAACTGTGGCTTTCCAAAAACACATGAGAGTGCCATTTCCCCACCCCTCGAGGACAGAGGATCATGGTTGGTTTGAATCTTCTTTGAACTGAAGGTTGAACAGCAAGGTCTCGTTTCATTTTCCATCTCTTTGATTTTCAGCCACATGGAACACATGTATCCATGTTACTCATTCTTTATTCTATAATCAATTACTTGCTCTTACCCCTTGGCTTTTTTCTTTTCTTTTTTTTTTTAATGGTACTGAGGATGAAACTCAGTGTTCTGCTGTGGAACCACGTCCCCAGCCCTTTGTGTTTTGTATTTTGAGATAAGGTCTCAACAAGTTGCCCGGGTGCCCTCACACTTGCGATCCTCTTGCCTCAGCCTCCCAAGGGCACCATGGCCTTGAGCCACCCTTCGCCTTTGTTGAGATTGAAATGCCTGCCAGATTATTATTATTATTATTATTATTATTATTATTATTATTATTCAGAAAAAGATGTTTAGGTACCAAAGCTATTAACCCTTTTATCTGCTGTATATATTGGAAATTCTTTCCTTCATTGTCAGATATTTTTAAAAGTCATGTCATTTTTTGAAATGTCAAATGTTCCATTTTTACCTGGTATGAAGTATGGATATTTCTTTTAAAGGGAGCAAGAGAAACAGAGCTGGCCGAGATGTTCCTGTGACCAGGCAACCAGCTGCGCTCTGGCTGACAGAGAACAGGAGACCCTGACAGGAGGGCAGGAGAGGGCGTCTGGGGAGGTGACACTGGTGAGTTGGGTTCGATCTCATTGAGAGGTGTAAGTGGGACGGGGGTTCTGAGAGTCCCCAGGTGATAGATCCAGGCTTTGGGGATGTGGGGTTGTGGCAGACAACCTGGGGGTTCCTGGCTCTGGGGGAGGAGCCTCCACAGTGGTGGACTCTTGTGCACACTTCTTGTGCACAAGAAGACTCCGACCTCTCCAGCAATTAGAGAAATGCAAATTAAAACTATAGTGAGATTCCATCTCACTTCAGGCAGAATGACAATTATCAAGAATACAAGGAACAATAAATGTTGGCAAGGATATGGGGGAAAGGCACACTCACACATTGCTGGTGGGACTGCAAATTGGTGCAACCACTCTGGAAAGCAGTATGGAGATCCCTCAGGAAACTGGGAATGGAACCACCATTTGACTCAGCCATCCCACTACTTGGTCTATACCCAAAGGACTTAAAATCAGCATACTACAGTGACACAGGCATATCAATGTTTATAGTAGCTCAATTCACAATAGCTAAGCTGTGGAGCAACCTAGGGGTTCCAACAGATGAATGGATCAACAGATGAATTCATCAACAGATAAATGGATAAAGAAAACGTGGTACATATACACAATGGAATATTACTCAGCCTTAAAGAAGAATGAAATGATGGCATTTGCCAGTAAATGGATGGAACTGGAGACTCTCATGCTCAGTGAAAAAGCAAGGAGCAAGAAGAGGTGAGAGAACCCAGGCTCAGCAGGGCAAACCCAAGGGTCTAGGGGCTTGGCAGGAGTTGAGGCAGCCCCTGCTGCTGTTCCTGGTTTGTTCCACCCCTGAGAGCTGAAGGAGAGGAGGGGAGGAATTCAGAATATGAAGTGTGTCCATTCACTGGCTGTCTTCCAACTCTCCTCTTTGACCTGAACCTCTTCTTAGTCCCAGTCCCTTTTTATTCCTTACAATGATGTCCCCTTCTCACCAGATCCCATCTTCCTTTTCCACCTACCTGCTCCTTTTCCCTTCTGGACAGAGAATGGTGCACAGTCCTGGTGGGGAGCTCTAGGACTCCGACTCTCCCCTCCTTAAGGGCTGGTGCAGGGGCGGATTCCCAGGCATGCTGGTCTGGTCGCTGACGGAGGGGATGGATACCTGAAATACCTGTAAGGATGTATGCGCTGGTATGCGCGTGCGCATTCCTGGGGGTCAGGATACCACCTCAAACCTGGCTGCCCCAGCTGCTGTGCGAGGACATGAACCAGGAGCATGAGTTTGAAGTTCAAAGAAAATGGTGAACGGTGGCAACCAGATGAGTGTGCAGAGACAGGGTACAACAGGGTCAAGCTGATGCCATTTCCAATAGATACTACGCCACCTGGGTGACCCCTGGCTCTGTCTACTGTGCAGCCCCTCCCTCCCTCCCTCCCGGAGGAGCAGCTGACACCAGCCCACCGTCTCCCAGGTGAACCCAGATCCCATCACCCTGCTCTACAGCTCAGGCCCACCAGGGGCTGCCACCATCAGGACCCTGGTCACAAGCAGGCCACACAGCAGACGCACCAGGAAACTGCCCACAGCCGACTGAAGGGAGAATGAAGCTTGGTCGCAGAAGAAGGAGAAGAAAGATAGGAGGATCCGGGGTGGGGAGAGGAGCCTCTGAACCCAACATGGGGCTGGAGACTGTGCGCAAGACCCACCTCAACCCACCAACTCGGGGTGGCGAAGGGGTTAGACACAGGGAGCCCCTGGAACAAGATCATGGAAACCCAAGGATCCTGGGCAGAGGGAGAGGTGGGCCAAGAGAGAAGAAATGACCAGAGTTGTCACTGCCCTTGGTAACACTGCCAGGGGTCACTGCCAGGGGCCCTGCAGCACAGAGCTCCATTGGATGGGGAACCTAAGGCCGCAGGGACCTAAGGAAAAGCAGAGGGGTCAGGGCAAGTTCCCGGATGGGCATCAGGTAAACCTGAGTGGAGCATCCGCAGGGCCTGAGGGGACCCCCAGCCAGGAGGCAGGACACCTAGTCCTCGTCCTCCTGTGGCCCTGAGCAGCTGAGTGACTTTGGACAGGCCGTTGGCGTTCTCTGGGCCTTGCTTCCCTCAGCTGTTGAATCAGCTCTGATAGAAACGTCCATTCCTGAGCCCACCGTGGGGGAGTTCAGAGGTACTCCTTCATCCCCGCCTAGCCAGCTCTGAAGCTGTGTTCTGGGGACCCCCTTCAGGTCCCCACATCGCCCTGTATCAGAGGCCAGCCTCCTCCCCAGAGATGAGGCTGCCCTGCCTCTTCCAAGCTCTCCTTCCAGAGGTGGCTTCCTCGGCCCACCTCCAGCCCCCCAGGAAAGGACTCCGAGTACCTGAGACCTGACTAAGGCTTATTTCCCTCTGTTCCCCGAGGACAGCAGAGACCTCCTGACCAGGAGGTGGGGTTGAAATGGCACAGGGCACACTTGGCTCTCAAAGTCCCTGGGGAGGTGTCCTGCAGCAATTTTCAGATAGAGTGGACTCACACAACCCCTAGGAACCATGAGCAAGGCATTTCCAGGCCTCGCCGCCCCAGCCAGCTTCCCTAAGCATCGCTGCCAAACAAGCCTCTGGAACATGCCTCCGGAACATGCCTCCGGAACAATGGCACCTACTAAACCCCACGTACCGAATGCCACATTATTTTCTGTCTAATAGTCTCTTCAGGGAGTAAGTTCAGATGCAGGACAATCTCTACACATTACTAGACACCAAGTCCGTTTCCCCTCTACGCTATAGGGAACACTGAGTGTAATGTCATTAAACACGAAATAATAAGTTGAAGCTACTAATGACCTTAGTTATATCTGACCTGATCCATTGTGGCCCCGGTGTCCAGCAGAGCTAACCCGAAGAACCCAAGACCCCATACCATTGAAGGGCACCACTGAGACACCATGGCCCGGGACCTCTGCTCTCTCCTGCACTGGAGAATCTTGACAGTCTTCCCTGGTGTATGAGGTCGCTTGTCACAACGGGTCAGCTAATGTTCAGATAATCTTTGTGCAAAAACTCATAGAAGTGAATGTTTGAACACTTCAAGTTCAGTTTGTGGGAGAAATCCACATTTTCTATTTGAGAGATTATGCAGAGGAGAGAGAGGAGGGAATTTTAATTTTGCGGACCCAAGGTAGGAAAAAAGGGGCCTCAAGAAAAAGAGTAAAAACACATTTGTAATTTAGAGTTTACTGGTCAACTAACTCCAAATTTCCACACCAGTCTGCACCTCAGACTTAACTGGGGATGATTTTTAAAATGCAAATGTCCCAGCCACACCCAGAGGGATTACATGAAGCCTTTGAAACTCCAGGCCATCCCACAATCTTATTTAATTTCCACAAAGCCTTGTGAAGCAGTTGCCACTGTCCCCTTTGACACTGAGGATAGGAGCACGGGCATCTTGGTGATCTGCTCTAGGATTTCCCGGGAAATCAGTGGCACCAGGAGCCCAGCACTCCTGCTCACGTAGGTGTCGCCCTCTGACCGCACGGAAGCGGAGCCAGGGGTCTTCTGTAGCACCAGGAGAGGACTCCGAGGCAGCACACCCGGCCCGGGTGATGGACAGGCTGCTCCTGCCCCCTGCTGGCCAGAGACTGCCATGACCGCGAGCGGGCCTGTGTAAGGTCGCCTTTGCTTGGAGCCTTGCTGCTTTTGCCTGAGGGGCACAGTGTCCCAAGAGCGCCCCCCTCCCACACTCTGCCCTCTGAGGTCTCCTGTCCTTCTCACTTGCTCTTTGGTATGGTCTCCCTTTCCAGAGGGCAGTGAGCGCTGGGAGGGTGGAGCCGCCCTTTCTCTCTCCAGTCCACAGCCTCCACAGGGAGGGGTCTCAGATTCCTGAGGGGGCAGACTGCTCAACCCGTAGACCTTCAGTTCTGTTGAGAGTTCAGTTGGGTCCCCAAAAATAGAAGCCACAGAGAGAGGTTCAGGCTCCGGTCCCCAGTCCTGGAAGGGTTGCTCTTCCCAGGTACCACTGGACCCTAATGGGGTTCAGCTCACCCTGGGAGGTGCCCAGGAAATGCGGCCTTTGGAGCACTGTCAGAGAATGGAGGAAACACCCCTGGGTGGCCCCAATTGCCTCTGGAACCCCACTCTGTTGAGAATATGGATACTGTCTTCTCCCAACCCTGAGCCTCAGAACTTGAGAAGAACCTTGGAAGGCAGAGCCCACACGAGTGCCCTACCTGCCCGTTCCTCCCTGGGTACAGCTGCCAGGCAGAGGGGACTCGGCTTCTCTGACTGTAAGGTAGGAATAGTGCCTCCTCTCTCATCAGGTTCCTGAGGTGAATCACTCTGGGTGGTTATAAACACCCACACTTAGATGCTTTGTCCTGGGTCCCTCTGCTCTGGTCCTATGCAGATGTTCCCACCAGCCCAGAAGAATGTCCAGGACCAGGCAGGCGTCTCAGAGATGAATGGGTCTGACCTCCTTCTCTCCCAGTACCACCCCTCACCCCCAGACAGACAGACAGACAGACACACTGTTGAGTTATAGGGCACTTTGAATCCTCCATGAGTCCTGTAGAGCTCAGTGTCCATGCTGTGTGCCCCAGGAGCCTGAGCCAGGTGCAGAAGGGGCAGCCCTATTGCAGGTGAAGACCTCAGGTGGAGGGAGCCTGGTGAGCGGTTCTTGCTGGGCAAAGGAGGCAAGGACTCCAGAAACTGAAAAAGATTCAGAGGGTTGATGACAAAGGGACCAGGAATTTGCAACCATTTGTCAATTTCAAGTTCCATTCAAATTTGGGCTAAATGGGGGCAGAGGGGGGACTGGGGTTTCTGCCTCAGCGGTACATGCCTGGGGCACTGGGTTCGATTCTCAGCATCACATATAAATAAATAAATAATGTTTTTAAAAAATTGGGATAAACATAAGCTTCTAGCAAAAAAAAGACTCAAATTTCATAATTATCAAATTTTCATAATATTTTGTAAGAGGTAAATACAAGTACTGTTTAAGGCAGTTTTTTTTTTTTTCTGCTGTGACCAAAAGACCTGACAAGAACAATTTTAGAGGAGGAAAGTTTGGGTCTCAGGTTTTGGGGGTTTCAGTCCATAGATGGCCAACTTTATTGCTCTGTACCTAAGGTGAGACAGGACATCAGGACAGAAGGTGTGGCAGAGGAAAGCAGTTTAGGACATGACAATCAGGAAGCAGAGACAAACTCCACACCATGGACAAAATATATATCCCAGTGACCCACCTCCTCCAGCCACACCCTCCCTACCTGCAGTTACACCCCAGTTAATTCATATCAGCAGATTAATGCACTGGTTAAGACCCATAACCCAATCATTTCACCTCTAAGCTTTCTTGCATTGTCTCACACAAGAGCTTTTGGGGGAAACCTCACATCTAGACCATAATAAATACCTTAAGAGATTTTTTATAAGTATAAAATTTTCCTGTTTTTTTTCCATCTTGACCACTGCAAGGATTTAAAACTTTTGTATTAGGAACCTGAGGAGTCATCTGATGAATTTGCCCCTTATTTTCTTTCTAATCAGCGCACTGTGAAGCTCTTTGGCAGTGAGACCATTAAGATAAGTCTGGCACACGCAAGATATTGTTGTGTTATTTAGTTTGACATCAGGTCTGCTTCCCACCCAGGTTCATCTGTGGAAAGCCATCTGTGAAATACATAAGGATCTTCTCTGGACAAGAAGCTAGGGAGAGTTAGGCCTGGCATTGCGAATTATCCGAGGCTCTCCCACGGCAATAGATTGCCCAATGCACGTGACCTTTCTCTTGACTCTGCTAGGAGGATTCCTCATAGTAGCTCTGGAGATGGGCGTAACCCTTTAGAAACTGAACAGAACACCTTTAAACTTTTTTGGAGAAGAACATTCTATAGAACTTCTTTGATGTTTCCCCATAGAGCACGGGATCTATTTTGCCAGAGTCTAGAAGTTCCATCCATCTGATGGGCTTGCCCATCCTGCCCCTGCTTTTGAAACCACTTTCTGTGTTCTGTAGATTTTTCGCCGCTTTATTTCTCTTAGCTCTTATTTCTCAGCCAGCCCATTCCACGGAGGAAAACCCCATTCCCACCCTCTGCACAGGACATGGGTGGGACTCATCATTTTACCCTCCCAGCTGCTCTCTTCTGAGATATGCAGTCCCCTCTGGGCCAGGGAGCCCATGATTCCTTCCCTCACTCAGCCTGGAGACCCCACCTTTCACTGCCTCACCATCTGCACTCCTAGACTCAAAGAAAAAACTCTCAGGTTTTATAATCCAAGAGCTTACAGCTTTGGAATCTCCACCCCTCACTTAGGACACATGAATTTGTTTTGTATAATCTCTACCATGTCAGGGTGGGTGGGAAAGGAAAACATCTCCACCTCCCAAGATAATTTTTTCAGAAAGTAAGGAAATGATACAATGCATTCTCAGACCCCAGTATTTCTAGAGGACTCTGTCCTGGTCTTGGGGACAGGGGACAGGTGTGCCCCTATCCAGGTCTCCCAGATCACCCTCTTCATTCCACTCTCTTCTCCTCCCACTTAGAGACACATTATTTCATCCAGAGCACAGGGGTAGGACTCAATTTTTACTCATTGCAGTGAGTTCCAACTTCAATAAAATAAAACTTGCCCATCTTAAGTGTATGGTTAGATGAGTTTTGAAAACGTTTATGCCCCTGTGTCAATCACCACTATTAAGATATGGAACCTCTGCATCACCCCCAGACATGATACTCTGCACTCCC